GGTGCGGCTCAGAGGACAGACGGGCACCAGGCAGATGCTCTGGTGTCCTGAGCGGCAGCCAGCACTCGGCCTCGTCTCCCACCAGCGTCCGAGAGACCTGCACCGGCCGGACTTTGGGTGGACTCAGGAGGGGCGAGGGGGACACAGGCCAGGCCCCCGGAAGGGAGCCGGTCAGTGGGACGCACGAACCCCCTCGGGTGGGAAAGCCGGCCTCGGACTGAACTGGTCACTGAGCCTCGAACTCTGTTACCATGTCTCTCACGATGTCCGTCCCTCCCAGCAATGACACGCCTGTGAGAGGACCGCATGGCCACAGCCCGAGCACGCAGGCCGCCAGCATGGGCCCAGAGGACCCGGTCACGGAGGTGCAGGCGCTGCTATAAGATGGCGGGGCTCCCGACCGGGGAGCCGCCTGCTGCCCGCGACAGTGAGGAGTGACGAATGTGGGGTGCCTTTCAGCGGGAACAGGGTCGGGGGCCCAGGCGCTACGCTCAGTGGCAGAGCCAGGCCCTGGAGGAGGGGCCTGTGGGACCCACAGACACAGGCAGGGCCGGCGGGACAGTCAGCGTGGGACGAGGGGGTCCCCAGGGGACTTGGGGGCTGCGCGGCCTGTGCTGTGCCGGGCGCCCCTGGATCGCTTCGCAAACCCAGGTAGAAGGTAAACGTTGTGGCCCACCTGTTTTCACACAAATAAAATGTGACGATTTTGACACAGGATTGGAGACAATGAAGTGGAGCTGAAAGGGAGCTGGCGTGAGAGGGAACAGAGAGGAGGGGTTCAGAGCAACGAGGCCCGTGAGGCAGGAGCGGACCGGAGGGGAGGGCGGGGCCTGTGAAAGGCTGGCTGAAGCCTGTGATACGGCGGAGACCGCGTGGGCTGTGGCCAGGGGCCTGTCCGCTTCTCCCTGGGGCCCAGGTGCGTTCAGGGTCGGGACGAACGCCGTGTCTGAGGGGAAACGTCTCAAAGTGCTTAGAAATGAGGACTGAAACCAAGAATCAGATTCAGAAGCGGGACGAACTCCACGCATAAACCAAAGAAAATCGTTCCTCCGTGGCTGCCAACCAAGAAGCCTCACCGCCGGGAACAAGAGGACACGCCCTTCAGAGCGTGTTCAGGGGACGCAGCTCGAGCCAAGCGAGCGGGAAGCAATGAGCAGAGCGCCCAGGGGCGGCCAGCCCCGCGGGGCCGGGAGGGAAGGCGAGCAGGGGGACTCCCAGCAGCTGCCGGGAACGAACAGGACCCTCCGTCCAGACGCCCCGTCACAGAGGTCAGCAGCGCGTGGACCTCAGGCCGAGAGCAGGGCGATCAGATCGACACGTTCCAGAGCGACGTCGGGCACCAGCCCTGACCCCGAGCTGGAGACGGAGCCCCCGCGCACCCGCAGCGCCGATGCGGCCTTTGATCATTGCTAACTTTTCA